AAGAGCAAAGTATAACTACAACTTCAGAATTGAAAACAATTAGCATCTTCTCTAAAAACACTTTCATCTGCACCTGTGTGATCTCCTGGGTAGTTATTTCTATTGCGTGTTCTTCTTCACTGCTATCATCCAAAGTAGGTCTGTTCAAATGTTTGTTGTGAAGACTGGCTAATTCTTTCATTTTCTGTTTTATCCTGGTGATATCATACTGAATCTAAAAAACAGCCCAAACAACAGAGAAAGGAAAGTGAGTAATGCCTGAGGAAAAGCTTTGACAAATACCAGACAAATAACTTATGTGAAAACATTCACAAAAGTATGTGCACTATACCAGAACAGCCAACAATCAATTTAAACCAACACATACAAACAAAGCTGACCTCCTAGTGATTGAAAACTGATGTGCCTTTTGTGGCACTGCTGCTCTTTTGACATTTTTACATTCTCAATTTAAAATCAAGTAGATTAGATTGTAATGCTTTCAAAGCAGCAACACCCAAATACGATATTGTTTTTAAAATCATATTACAACAACATTCACAAGTCCTGGGTCTAACCCAATCCCTCAAAATCAGATTTCACAGGGAAGGTGAAAAATCCAGGTCCTATCTTCACCTCTATCTCCTGGTGTTATAAAACTAAGCAAGCATAACAGTAAAAATCAAGGGGCAGAGTCCTAAACTGGCCTCTAATAATAAAGCTACAAGCAAGCTGTTTGTCCTAGGGATATAGTCTGTCTATCTCAACACACCTGGTGGGTTCTGCATACAAAGTGGTGTGACTGCAAATTTTGTGGGTGCAGCTTTTTGGAATCTGGGAACAGGATCATGTTCTAAATGCTACATGATATGCCCAATCAACATCCTCCTAGCTTTTCCTTTGGGCAGCTGTTTGGTGGCAGTCAGGACATCCTGCTCTTCTAGGAGGTACAGACAGCTTCTGAGCAGCAAGCTTTATGTCTTCACTACTTTGTGGCCTGCTCTGTTGCCTTCCTTCAAGCGGGTGCTGTAAAACCTCTGCATTTGTTACTGCTTTAACCATAAGACTCGGCTTTTGAAGGAAAACTGCTTATTCTAGAAACTTTTTTTTAATGTTTTTTTTTTATTTAAGGACTAGAAGGACAGGGCTTTCTGGTACGTGCCTCCAGGCAGCCTCCTGATATGTTCCAGATAACTCTGGAGTTTAATTCTGGGCTAACTGCAGGGATCACGCCTACTACAATTTTTGCCTCTGAATAGAGCCTTTTGAATCCATTTTCAATCTGGCATTCCAGATACTAAACTTAACTTGTTTGAAGTCTTTCCTAAATATTGATGGCAGCTGATCAAACAGCACTCAAATTTACAGAACAGAACTTGCTTCAATTAATTTAAAAAAAAATTACTATTACAAAAAACCATTAACATTACATTTGTCAAAGCTACATCATAAGCAAGTTTCTTTTATGGAGAACAATACCCAAGCACTGGGTACGACAGGGTCACCGGTCAGATCAGTGTATGTAACTTACTTCTTCCACTCCATCAACCCACTTGGGCGGTAAGCGCTTTGTTACACCAATTGCTGCTTCAGGATCTAAACTGATCCCGGACACTAGTGCCATGCGATCATCAGCAAGCTAGAGAGAGAGGAAAAGCAGTAAATTTAAGAGACAGGAAATTAAGTCTATTTAAACTATGCACAGGGAGTCCTAGTGTCTGTAACTACTGTTATTTACTCCCCTCTATAAAACCCAGGTCTATTAAAGTACTTATGTCTTGCACAGGTGGTAGACTGTATTTCTGCATGGCTGTAATTTGCTCCTTTGTGATGGCTTGTTCCTCCACCCACTAATTAGGAATGTTTCCTCCTGTCCTACCAGGGAAGAACTGCAAGAACAGATTCTAGCAGGCAGAGCTAATTCTGCCCTCTTACCCCCTTCTTCAGGGAGGGGTTCTGTCCTCACTGAAGACTCTTTATTGGCACCTTCCAGTCCTTGGAAGCCAGTTGTCAGAGGGCATTGGCTCTGTAGCTGAACTAGAGATTGGAGGAAAGGAACCCCCTGAGGCTATGGCAGATGGTTTATATTTGAAAAAACAAAACAAAAACCCAAAACCTAAGGGCAGAGGGAAGGAAGACAATCCAACCCCCCTCAAAAAATAGCAAGCAGGGAACCCAGAATTGGAACAGAATATTATTGGAACCTGAGGAATTATGCTTACGGGGCATATTTAAAAAGTGATGATATGCCTTATAATAATATGCCCACATGCATGCCCTAATCAGCTCATGCAAATGCATATTACCTCTGTCCTTCTCCCTGCCTCTGTGTTTACTGCATGTTGCAAGTGCTTGGTGCCCAACTCGTCTATAATGCTAAATCACCTTGGATGGCACAACAGTGCTGTGAAGAGACCTCACATAGCTCAGCTACTGGAAGCAGCACCTTCACTAACATACCTTCATCCAGATTTATTAGCACGAAGCACTTTGCGAATGCACCTAGACTGCTTCTGGTGCCTGCACTACTTCATTTGGAGCTAGCCTGGCATTCGCTGCTGAGCGACTCGGGGACTTAAAATTCTATGTATACCCATGGATGTGTAGCACAACTGGGCTTTGATCCTGAATATCGCCACAAATATATAGGAGCGAGGAAATAACCACACATCAAAAACAAGCTGAGGGAAATTAATTTATGAAAAAAACAACCCCCAAACCACCTCTAATGTACCAGCAGTGACATTAATGTTCCTGGGGAAGACAGCATTTAAAAACAACAGGCTAGAACTGCATTATGCTTTGCATAGCTGCAAGAACACAAAAACCTCCCCAAAGATCCTCTGTATATCACAATTCACAGGAGTTAGGTAATGTGACTAACGTAAGGAGATGTTTCATAGGTTTGAGAGAGAGTTTAATGTCATTAGGTGATGGACGTACAGCTATTTATCTCAGCATTGTAGCGGTGTTAGAACGAGGTGTTTTTCAAGAATGACATCTGAAAACAGAGTTCAGATTTTGAAGAAAGTGCCATGAGAAAAAACAGACTTGAAAACCAGAAAGGCTTTTGTTTTTTCCTCCCACCACCCTTACAGAGAACAAACGCTGCAAAGTCACAAATGCTTAGAGTAAGTGTGTGGGAGCTGTGGTTTTTACATCATGCTATCACGTGTAGGTCAAATAAACTTTGCTTCACCTTCAAGAGATATCTAAAAAAGCAAGAGAGAAGCAAAAGAGAGCACGTCTTTGCTTAGTCTGGCAAAGACTAAAAGCTCTGTTCTGATTTTGGACATCATTAATGGTGAAACATGCTCATTCATCCTCACTCTGAACTGTGTCCTCAAGGCTGGGGGTGAGCCAAGCGAACATGCACATTTATTTCTCAGCCCTATCACAGCTTCTTGGCATCCTTCTGTAGGCATCCTCCCTTTTAAAAAGCTACCTTCAACAGGGAAGTCGGACACCGATTTACAGAGGCAGGAAAGAGAGCGAGGCAACTTATTTGAATCTGTTCTTCTGAATTAAGTTAACAGCTCCGCTTAAATCACATCTAAAACTAAGAATACTGAAAATAGCTCTAATTAAGAAAGAAAAGGAACATATTATGTAATCACAAAGCGTAAGGTTCATTAAACCTCAATAGCAGCAACATAAACTTCTGAGATAATGCGAGTAGCGCAGTGCAGTAAATAATGTGACTTAGCGCTCCTACGGCACTTGTCTTTCAAGCACCTCAAAGTGCTTTTCACGCTTAAATAAAGCTTTATAAAATCTCTGAAAAATAGGTATACATGTATTGCTGATGGGGAACAGAGACATGGAGAGGCTAAATGCCCTCCCAAAAATCAGAGCCAGGGATCTGGCTGCCAGGGATTCTGGCTGCTGCATTAGGCTTTCTAATTTAATTCAGGCAATCAGCCTTCTCTCCTCTTTCGTCCAGTGATGTACTCAGTGCAACTCTCTGCTACTGCTACAAACAGAAACACTCAACTTCTGTAACTTCTACCCAGGAAATTTTACAAATGACAGACTGTAATTTTTTGGGGTTAAATTAAGGTTAAATGAGGTCAAAGAACACATTAGAACAATAGGGAGTCGGCATCATCATCATCATCTTAAAAATATCAGGAAGCTGTCTGATAATCATCCTTAAAGTTGTTTATCAAAAAGTGTCTCCTTAAAAACAGTGCTCCTGAAGGCAGGCCAGATTTCTTAAAATCATTCTGGTTAGGTAATTCATTCTGGGTTAACATCTTGTCAACTACTTAGACACAATAGCCATGCTTTATAGTTCTGCAGACAACAGGGGTACAAAGGAACTGGTTTTGGTTATAAGTTTCCCCATGTAAATACTGTACTTACTCAAATATAAGACGAGGTCCCCCATTCCCCCCAGTCAACATGGGGTAAAAGCCCCTTGTCCTAAAATTACATGCGAAGTGGAGTGGGGAGCAGGCGGCTGCTGTGGTTCGGACTGGTGTGAGCCCGGGTCAGGACCAGAGTCAGACCCATAGCAGCCTCCTACCCCTGCCTCTACTTCCCCTCTGCAGCTTCTGCCCCCTTCCCTTCTCCTTACTGTCAGGCACAGCTCAGTTCCGGCTTGGGTCTCTCCTGGGCACAGGGCACCTGCAAGCTCCGTCCCCTCCCCAGTCAATCAGCAGCACTGCATGGGCAGGCAAGGGCTGAGCTTCCATGTGCCATGCTCCAGGATGGAGCAGCCTGAGCAGCATCTGGCAGTAAGTTGGGGGTGGGGACAGAAGGAGGATGAAAAAGGTAGATTTTGGAGAGGAAGGGGCAGAGGATGTGGGGAGATGGGGGTGAGGGGTGTAGGTGGCAAGAAGGCTTCTGGGGGTGGGGGGGGGGCTGGGGTCATCTACTGATTTTCCTGCTGTAGCAGTAGGGGAAAGGAGCAAGGGGAAATTATCCTCTAATACTCATATTCTATACCTGGAAAATCGTAATACATTAATAACATTTTCATTTAGAAAACCTAATTATTGGGGGGGTTGCCTTATATTCAGGGTCATCTTATATTGGGGCAAATATGATACTTAGGCCTCAAAGACTAGCCTATTGCTTCAAATTCTATTAGGCAATCTTAGTCCTATTGAAATTTATGTTTTTGGACCGAGTCTGATGGTTTGTAAGATTAGGCACTGCAAAAGCAAGAGCATTAGTAATTGCATACAGTGAAACAATTAAATATCTCCAGAGTGTGCACAGTAAATCTGGCTGACAGCAACACTACATGATTATCATTGAAATGTCTCATGAAATCTCTTTTGCGCCGATGGGAAAGCTGCCTGATCCTTAGGTGAGGGGGGGGAGAAATCAGGCAACATCTCATAATAAAACACTTATCGCTTGACCTCCACGTGTGAGATTTAACTAACTCATGGTCTATAAAATGCACCATGATAGAACAAAACATGAAAAACAATACCTCATCCAGCTCCTGATGTGAGATTTGTTGATCCCATCAGCCCCATCCATTTAAGGGCAGCAGAGGGTAAGGAGACACACACAGGACAGAGATAGGGTATAGTCAGTCGAGAAAACATTGGAACTTTTTTTTTTAAACTTGTCAGTTTACCATGAACAAACCAGATACACTCTTAAAACATGGACAATTAAATACACTAATCTTGATTTATCTACATTAGCATTTAACCTGCTGCACAAATACATATTTTCTTTATTTTTTCCAGTTGATCGCTAAACAGAAAGAACACAACAGTTTGTTTTTTTTAATTAAGCACACATCAAAAATATAATTTCAGTGATCAAAATATCAGATGGAAAAAAGTAGTGCGAAGTGTGCACACATGAGGTACAAGAGTTTAACACAGCAATCACCATATGGCCATATTATTGAAAAATCCATCATACATTTTGAAACACTTGATTCAATAAAGAAACTGAAAGATTAAGATTTATGCACATTTTAGCTTGATATGGTTACTAGGCAAAGTGTGGAAAGACGCACACTTTACTGATAAGCATCCAGCCAGCACAAGATAAAATAGGAAAAATGAGATGAGAAAGCAGAGTGTTAAGAGCCTATTTGTGCAGAAACTTCAGCTATACTCCAGCTTTCCAACATTGCTGCCCCGTATGTTTAAAAAGTGTAGGCTAACAACTACAATGCAACTTTACCAGTAATCAAAGTGCTATTTTTGGATGCACAGAAGATTCATTGAAAAGTTAACGAGGTAAACATTATATTGCAGTTTAGGACAAAATGCTTTAAAAAGGGAAGGTGTCAAACTACATTTAATTCTTTATTCTATTCACAGATTCACTTTTAGAAATAAAACTAAATCGTTTAGGGAGCTTTCGCTATTTGCTTCTGGTTCTTCAAATGTTAGGTGCATTGATTTTATTACGGTCAGCACCAGAAGGCTAACCTGTGCTAAAGCTGAATTAAAAACAAAAACAGTTCTTTCTTAACATGGAGTTTCACACCCAGGAAGGACAAGGAGGCTTTGCTACACTGCCCTGCTAGCATGCCACAACCCTGCTCCAAGCTATATGGATGTCACTGTGATAGCACCTTGGAAACATGCTAGGGATGGCCCAAGCTAGGCAGTCTTGTCCTTCTGATGAGACAAGTATGTGATTAAACAAGAAGCAATTATGGAATAAACACCTGTCCATTATTAACTCATTTCACATATGGCAAGGAGGAGTCAATAAAGACTTTCAGTAACTGATGATCTTGGCTGCATTTGAACCTGAGAAAATAGACTCTATTCCATAAACGGTGGTGAAATGTATGGAAAGCAAAGGGCTGTTAATCTATCATCTATCCAACAGAAACTGAATGTACTTGGTCGATGGATTCCTATTCCTTCTTTTATTATGAATAACCTTTCTACATTTCAAGGCAAGTATTAAACCTTTTAGGGGTCTAAAAATATCCCAATGATGTAAAAATTGATCATTACAAATTTTAATAAGCAGCAAACAGTTCCAGACTAAGATGCACTGAAAACATATTGCCCAGTGAAATCATTCCTGTTTTATAAATTAAATTCCATAAGTAGCCAGTGTAAGGATAGGCCACTAAATTTAGCAATGAACGCAGTAGTCAATGGCAGCTCATGTACTGCATGAAACACCACTTTTTCTTACAAAAAAAATCACAAAGGCCAAGTCACTGAGAAAGAAAAGAAGACCCACATATGCTTACTAAGGCTATTCTAAATAAATGAGTCAAACCTAAAAGCAGAATGATAATTTTGTACTGATGTGGTTTTGTTTCTTTTCCAACCAGAAAAATCTGCGTGGCTTGCTCGTCAAGCGGGATGCTGCGTTACCAAGATCAAACTGCCTCTGTTAATGTGCCTTTATAAAATCCTCTTTATGCATCTTGCGCGATGATTATTTTATCGGCAATTTCAAAGCAGCCTTGGAATCTAAAGTTTTCCATCAGAGTCTGACCAGGCCAAAATTTAGAAAGAGCCCCATGAAATAAAGTGCCAATAAACCAGCAGCCTTTTGAAGTTCATGTAATGTGACACTCCACTAGAACTGAAAGATTTTTTCTTTGAAGAAGTTTTCTATCAATAAATGCTTGTCAAATATATAATTATTCAATCTCCAAATTCTGAAAATAGCATCATATAATGACACTTGGCAAAGTGCAGGAAAGAAGAGAGACAGCTTATATTTTTTCCGCACAACCACTACTTGTTCTCTTTTTACCTGACCCCCAAAAGAGACTATATCATTCCTGTTAGAGCACTTTATCACCTGGTAGCAATCTAGAGGCTGAAGTTCGTTAAGATTGTAATTCTCTTTGCTGAAAGGACAAGTGGTTACGCATGACAACAAAATGCTCTATGCAAGTATCTATTTTCCCATTTACTGGGGGAGCACCAAATTCAAGGGTAAAAATATAAGCCATCCAGAGGCACAGGTCTAGTCTGAGTTATCTTCAATTTTCAAGACCACGTACATATACACTGGCCTGATCCTCATGATTTTGCTCAAGCCGACCCCCTGCCTGCAGACCCAGATGTTCTCACGATCACATCTGCAAGCAGGATCAGGGGCTAAGTGATCTGTCATAGCTGTACACAAGCCATTCAGTTTTCCTCGCCTAAGGTTATCATTTTTCCATCCTGGAATTTCATCACCACCTATTTTAATGATGCCACGTCTTCCTACTATGCACAGAACAGCAACTGTTTTTACTATATGGCTTTGGATAAAACGCTATGCAAAACCCGTGTTTTTCTACTGAACAGAGTCCTAGCTTCAGAAAACATTAACGTGGAAACTAACAGGGGTCTGTCCAGCCGGTGTACATCGGCTTGCAAGTTCAGTTGGGGGTGTGTTCTCTCCACTAATAAATGACATACTCGGCAAGTCCTTCGACGCTAATACAGCCGTGGCACTCCAGCCTGGAGGTGTTGGTTGCAAACACAACAGGGAAGTTTCCTATTACAGGCAGTCCTCGGACTTACGACTCGACTGGTTCCTGAAAACTGCGTCTTTAGTGGAAATGTAACTCGGAACTGATTTTCCCATAGGAAACAATGTTATAAATGGGGGATTGATTCCTGAACCAAGGCCTGATACCCTATTTTCGCCAAAAATAACCCAAAATTTTGTACTCAATCAATTATAGATGAGTAATATAGCTACATTAATGTATTTATATCGTAAATAGCAATCATATGGATTTGGAAGGACTTCTTTGAGGTGACTTTGCTGGACCTTTTGAAGGGCTCTTGCCTGGAGTCTCCTCAGGAGTCCTGGCTACAGGTTTTTCTGGAGTCTCATCTGTTTTCTTAAAGAAAGCGTCCAAGGAAGCTTGGACGGACGCTCTCCAGGGACACGGGCGATGCAGTGAACGTGTTCACTGGCATGGCACGGCGTCGGATCAAGCGTTGTAAAGTCAAAACTGACGTCAGAAAGTCGAAACGGGGTGTCAATCGATAAACGCTGTAAGTGCCGAACGCTGCAAGTCGAGGACTGCCTGTCGCTCTCGGTTTCCCCTTCCTTTCCCTAATGAGACGCACGGACCGGTCTCCTAACCAGAACAGGAGACGGCACGGGCCCCAGCCGCCGTCGCACGCGGAGGAGGCCGGACTCCGCACCTGTTGTCGAACCCGCCTCTTAGCCCCCTTTTGCGTGACGGCACCAGGACACGCTCGCACCCGGCGGTGCGCTGGGGGGAAAGGCCCCGATGCCGAGATAACACAACGCAACCCCCCACACACCGCTCTGGGCCCGGGCCGCGGGAAAGCGGGTGACACGGAGGGAGCGAACAACCAGGTGCTGCAGCGGGGGAGCAGAGAGGAGACCCCGGGGCCGGGCGGGGAGGAAGGGAGTAGGATGAAGGGAGAGACTCACCGCAGCGGCCAAGCTACGTGAATGCAGAGGGCTGGAGGAGCGGGGACTACTCACTTGCTCGG